CCCACCCCTCACCCCAAACGCTGAGGATTCCCCATGTGCTTGGGGAAAGTATAGGGGTGACAGCCCTAATGTTGGACTTCCCTAAATGTAGTGGAAGTGTTGACATCTTGCTCCCGTTGGAAATCTGGGATACCCTGGCTGCTGGCCATGTGGTCATAAGCATTGGCATGGCAACCTGGGCCAGCAGCGAGAAGCCCAGGGCACGTCTTTGTCCTTCTCAAGTCTCACATCCAGGTTTTAACAGAGGCCCAGTTCAACCTCTGCATCAGGTCATTAGAAACACAGAGGCCTGTCGCCATCAGCACCCATGAGATCCACTGTCAGGGGACGTGGTGGAGAGGAGGTCACGGTGGCTCTCAGCTCTCGGCGTGGGCAGGGCTGGGCTGCGTGCGAGTGGTCTGGCCCCAGCACATGCCTGTGGACTGGACCAGAAAGCTGCCAGTACTGTCCTGAAATAGCTCTAAGCACACCCGGGGGGTTAAAATCGCTCCTGGGCCCCCTTAGACATGGGTCCCAGCACTGCCCACAGCCTGCATCAGTAAAGTCAGGGGACTAGGGGCTGCCAGCCCGTTTCCACTATGGCTTTTGCATCAGCATCTTTGCTCGCAGGAAATCTGGGAGTTTTCTGTGTAAATGTGGAGAAAGCTGGGCCACTTAGGTGCTATGGATTTGTCTATTTGGGACATTTCATATCAATAGAATCCTACAATACATGGCCCTTTGTGACTGGCTTTTTTCTTTTGGGTGAAAATATATGAAACAAAACATACACCACTTCAACAATTTCTGCATTCACAATTCAGTGACATTGGTTATATTCTTCAAGTTATGCCACCTTTTTCAACAATCTTCAAAATTATTTCATCATCATTAACACAAACTCAGTGCCCCCTAAGCTTCTCATCTACCTTTTCGAGTTGCTGCTGTCAATTTGATCACATATAGATAATTCTTTCAAAGAGTGTAATGCTTAATGCAGACATTCTTTTCTAATGAGGCTCAACTATTATTTGGTTCAAAGATGGCTTCAGGGGATGGTTTCAGTTCAAGGTTTAAAGATTTCCTCAGGGTAATAGTTTCATGGGTCATCTAACCTCAATGGCTCCAGAAAGTCTGGATTCCATGAGAATTTGAAATTCTGTTCCTTATTTTCCCCCTTTTGATCAGGATTCTTCTGTAGAATCCTTGATCTAAATGTTAAGTAATGGTGGCCGGGCACCATCCAGTTCTTCTGGTCTCATGGGAAAGGAGGCAGTTGTTCATGGAGGCAATTGGACATGTATTATGACTGGCTTCTTTTGCCTTCTGTGTTTTTTAATGACTGATGTTGACAGGGGAAGTTGGGAGGGATGTGGTCATTATGACAACCCCACAAGGTGACTATTGGCCCATTTTACAGAAGAGGCATGTAAAGGAGTCAGGCGCAAGCATACAACTAGTCCAACTGGAGCCAGGATTCACACCAGGCCCTGGACCCCGGAGGGGTGGCCGGGTTGACTTCGGGCAGAACGAGGAGGTTGCTCCAGGACAGGCGTGCAGCATGGCAGGGCCCTGAGGTGGGCCAGCTGGGCTCTGGCCATGCTCGCTGGCCTATGTGGGAAGCAGCCAATTCTGAAAGCCAGGCAGAATACAGACAAGCTTCTCAAGAATGGCTAGTGTCCTGTCCAGCATCCCTGGGGCTGCCTGGCAGCTTGAAGAGTGCATGCAGAAAGCTTATGGCAAGAGACGCAGGCAGCTCTTCTCACCCAGCAAACCCCAGTAGGGGGTGGGGGGTGTTCTTTAGGGTAAGGGGTCCCTGGCCAGGCCACTTTGGGAAAAGCTGGATTCAACCCAGTTACACTACACAGATTTATGTACTCCAGGTTCTCAGAACCTCTGTTCCCACCAGCCTAGTTGATTGTGAGGAGGCTATTTGCATGCAGTTTCCCAAATATATTTGGCCACAGACCCTTAAGAAGGAGGTGGCCAGGGAGCCTCATCCACTTCTGTTGTTGGGGAAACAGAGGCCAGGGGAGCTGCAGAGGTTGCAGAGACCCTGCTCCTGTCTGTCTGCAAGGAGCGTTTGAAGACTCTTCAGACGGGAGCCAGACCCACAGGGAAGCGGTGCTCAGCCTCATCCTGCTGCAGGCTTGGAATGGAGCAGTAATGGGCACTCAGTGTGGGCAGCCCAGAGGGGTCTGCAGACAGACAGACAGATGTAGAGGGCAGGGCCACTCCCCCAGTGTCTCCTGGCCCCTCCACAAATGGAGACCCCTGACTGAGCTGCTGGCTCACAGCCCCAGTGAGCAGCCTCTCCCCAGGGCCAGGTCTTGGGTGGGCCATGCCAGGGCACCCTGATGGCAGCTCTGAAGCTCACGGCATCAGCTTCCCAGAGCCACTTACCACCTCTCCTTTTAGCCCCGAGAGCACTTAACTGGTGACTCAAGTTCCTAACCAGCACCCCATGTCTGCACACTTCCAGGAACACGGGAGGGAGAGACAGAAAGTCTCCTGCTCCTGTTAGGCAGTGCTGACCTCCACGGGCCAGCTGAGGGCGTGGCGGTTGACCCCCTCCAGACTGGCGGCCTTCCCCAGGCCAACCTAGGCCCTTGCCTTTGAGAAGGTCTTTTCCTTTCCAAGCCTCTTGCCTTCTATCCCTCCTTTCCCTGGGAGGCAGATACACCACCAGCTAAAGGGAGGGCCAGCTCCAGAACCCGAACAGAGGGGCCTGGCTTTTAGAGCTGGTGGATCCTTAGTGCACAGTCCAGCCTGCCCACCCCTCCCCTTCTCTGGCTTTCCTGCTCCCAACCCTGTGTAGCTGCCCCTGCTGCTCCAGAAACAGCAAAACCCCGCACCAGACCTGCCAGGCCCTGACTCCCCGCCTCCCAGCCCTGAGACCCCACCCATGTCCCACAGGGCTTGCTGTGCCTGCGACAGACCTGCAGGACCCTCCTTCCCCAAGAAGCAGCCACAGCTGCTCCTCTGGCTGAGACGTGGCCTTTGGCTGCAGCATTAAGAATGGGAGCCAGAGGTTTCTCCTGCCACACCCCAGCAAGCTCCGGAGGGGAGGGGAGGAAGAGGCCCTCGCTGTCGTAGCCTGCTGGCCTTGCATTCTTGGCCACTCTCGATGTCTCCATTTGTGCAGGGATGGGTGAAGAGGGGGTAGGAACTTCTACTCAAAGTATGGTCCCCAGACCAGCAGCATCGCCACAGCTGGGCACTTGTTGGAAGTGATGGGTCTCAGCCCCTGGCCCCACGTCTATTGACCCCAAATGTGCTCCTGAAGGCCCCAGGTGGTTCAGGTGCCCGTGGACATTTGAGTGGCCAGGTCCTCACAGAGCCTGTGGCCATGCCCAGCAGGAGGCCCTGGATGTGGCCATGTCTTCCTGGGGTACCAGCGGCAGCCCTCCAGCCCCCAGGAAGCTCAAGGGTCTTCCCACCTTAGAACTGCCAGCTAAAGGGAGACAGGCATTTCATTTTCCATTGGTTATTTCAAGTCAAATGCTGTTTAGCCTCAGAAATTTTATTTAAATGGTCGGCCAGAGATGAAACCGGAGCAGCAGGAGGGAATTCTTCAATAAAAAGCCTTGGAAAAGCCAACCATTTTTCCTGCATGCACCAGAGACTCTTCAAACAGGAACCAGACCAGCTGTAAAGAGCCCAAGCCTATTTCCTTAAATACCCGAAAGTTCCACTGGCTCCAAGCTGGCGAGGTTTGACAGTTTACACCTGGTGACATTTAGAGCACAATTTCAGAGGAGGCTGGGGGGAGGGAACATGTGGTCTAACCTGACATTACTTCCCGGCTGATTGTTCCCTCTTTGGCCAATATACCATTTGTCTGGAAAACACTTTGGCCTAAAAATAGCTGCAGGGCTTGGTGTCATTGTGGATGAAGGGCACCTGCCCCATTTCCTTGGCTTATAGACACCTGCGAAGTATCATCCCAGAGAGTTGACACAGCCCATCAAACCTGAGTGCCAGGCTGTGTGAGGCCAGAGAGAACTTCGCGTGGGACAGACCCAGCCTTGGGAAATGACCACCTAATGCTGCCGCCATGGCATCTGCCTGGGGCCATGTGACTCAGCATCCAAACCAGGCCACTCCTGAGGGCAAAAGAGGGCACTGTTCATTATCCCGCCAGGTCAACAGGCATAAACCAGGACTACCGTTGTTCACTCCCGTTGAGTTGACTCTGACTCTTGGTGACCCCATGTGTTACAGAGTAGAACTGTGCTCCATGGGGTTTTCTTGGCTGCAGTCTTAATGGAAACAGATTGCCAGGAATTTTTTCCACAGTACCGCTGGGTGGGTTCAGACTGCCAACCTTTAGGTTAGCAGTTGAGCACAAACTGTCAAACCTGGGCTGGTCAGCTAGACACTCGCCCTGAGTACGGGGACTTGTTAAATCTTAAGTTGCTCAGAGGAAGGAAGCAGCAAAGGCGGGGGTGATGACGGTCCACATTGCCACCCCCTGCCCATGGAGGAGGCACCGTCCTGCTGGTACAGTGTGCGCCGAGACATGCTGAGCCACCAGGCATGCCCATGGCCACCATTTCCATCTGGGTCCCCCATGCAGATGACTGCTGCTCTCCCCCGCGCCAGCTCCAGCTTTAGGCCTTCCCACATGCACACTTCATCAAGTGTGTTTTTCAACTGAAGTTCACTACCAAAGAGACACTGGGTGTGGAATTCCACCTGCCAAGACAGGCGATGTGGGCACAGCCAAGTCAGTCATTTACGGCTACCTTGCCCACCGTGCCAGATCCCTTCCAGGCTTCCCTTCTCAGCGTTCCCTCTTGGAACTCAGCCGCTCTATGCTCTCTGGGCCCTCACAGGCAGGCTGTCAGGAGGGGTGGGGGGCCTCTGAGCCCTCCCAGATCGGTTTGTCCAGGTGGAGTGGGCAGTTGAGTGCCCCGGGCGGGGCTGCCGGCTCTCCAAGGTGGGCTCAGGCCCCAGAGCCCACAGTCAAGGGTCACTTGTCTCACTTCTAACCAGACGGTTTCTGCATGTCATTGCAGCCCGAGACAGAGGATGAGAAGAAGCGCTTTGAGGAAGGCAAAGGGCGATACCTGCAGATGAAGGCGAAGCGGCAGGGCCAGGTGGAGCCCCAGGCCTAGACGCCTGCCTGGTGGAGACCCAGAGCGTCAGATCCCTTAGGAGTTGCCCTTCAGCCACAAACCCAATTTTCATCGAGAGCTGGTGTCGTGTGAAGTATTTGTAACGCAGTATTAACCTCTACTCTGTCCTAAAAACCTATACACCAAAGCTTATTTATATAATTCCAGTGTAAATGCTACAGTGTTGTCCCCACACCCAGGGCCTTCCATGGGACCCCGGAGATCTTCTGTCATTGTCAAGTATGTGAGAATCCAGCACCATTAATAAAGCTGCTGTTTGGCTGGGCCCACAAATCTCGTGTGGTCCTTGGTCTCCGGGGGCTGCTCTCGCGCTGGGCCCCGGATATGGGGGGCTCGGGCTCCGCGTGGGGCCAGACAAAGGACAGACAATGGCCATCTCTGCTCCGCCTCTCTCTGCAGTGGCCTCAGCCCCCCACTCCGTGGGCCCCACACCTTCCCATGCCTCTCCAGAGCCAGCATCTGCTTGTACCTGAGAACCCTGGGCACAGCAGCCCAGACCCATGTTTGGCTGATGACCGTGCTGGCTAGAGAGTGCCATCCCCCCGGGCCCTGTCTCCACCTCTTGGCCCTGCGGGCCCCCTTCCACCTGGACTTCAAAGGCGGCCAAAGCCCCGGGGGAGGTTGTAGACCCTGGGGCCACCTGCCAGGGGAGTCCCGCCCCCCACTTCCCCGCTGCCTGGCTTTGCAGATGCCAGCCTCCGAGCCTTGCATAGTCTCCTGGTAAATGGGGGACAGCCAGTCTGTATGAGAGGCGTGTTAGGAGCCTGAGCCCTCTGCCCACTAAGAGCCTGGCGACCCCAGCCCCCTCACAGCCAGCGGAGCCAGAGGCCAGGGTCCTGCTGGATGGGACCCCTGTGCCTGAGATGGAAACTGTTCCCACCACTGCTGTCCCACTCAGCCCACCATCAGGCAGTGGGGATGATTGGGATGGCCTAGGGGTGGGGATCTGAGGGTCAGTGTGTGTGTCTGTGTGTGTCAGTGTTTGTGTGTGCATGTGTGTCACTGCATGTTTGTGTGCCTGTGTGTGGTGCGGGGTGCCTGTGTCAGTATTTGCGTGTTGATCTGTGTCACTACATGCATATGTATGTGCATATGTGCATTGTGTGGTATGAGGGTGTCTGAGTGTGTGCGCACCTGGGTCAGGGGCATGTGTGTATGTGTCTCCATGTGTAGTGTGAGGACATCTGTAGCATTGGTATGTACATATGTGTCACTGCATGTGTGAGGGTATCTGCGTCTGTCACCGTTTGCATATGTGTGTGCATGTGTGAGGTGTGAGGACGTTTGTGTGTGCATCTGGGTCACTGTGTGTATATGTGAATGTGTGGTATGAAGGCATTTGTGTGTGCATCTCGGTCATTGTGTGCATGTGTGTGTGTGTGCATGTGTGTGGTGTGAGGGTGTTTTACCACGTGTCTTTGCATCTGGTCCAGCAGTCTCTGGACAGATAAACTGCCAAGGCCACTGCAGGGGCCAGGATCCACCCCCTCCCCAACTGAGAAAGGCCTGTCCACCAGGCACACCGGGAGGTGGCGGCTGGGAGAATGTCCCAGACTCAGGCTGGTCAGCAGCCCACACATCTGTCCTGCCACCTGAAGACGAGTCAGCTGCAGTCTCACACAGGGCTCCCTCGGGCCCCTGGGGAACCAGAACGCATGGCTCCAGATGTGCAGAAACAGTCCGCCAAGAGCCTTTGGAATCTGTCTCAGGCCCCAGTCCCAGCCGACACGGATATTTCTGCCAGGGAGCAGGGGGAGGGAACTGCTGGGCCACAGGAGGCCACAGGGCCCCACCCTGCCCCTCAGCCCCCCAAGGCTGGCTTCAGGCACCTTCAGCCTTCCAGCTCCTCCTACTCCCCGCCTCCAATTTCCTAAAGGTCCCTGTTGGTGCCCCTGGGCCCAAAGTGGGGAAGAGGCCTTCCCTGCAGGGCGAGCAGAAGCCCAGCCCTGTGCCTGAACCTAAGTCTGACACCAGCCAGCCAAGCTGACCCCTAAGGTGCCTGTACCCTGAGGCTCCAGCTCAGGGAGCCAGTCCCCAAGGTGTCAACAGGCCCTCAGTCACAGGATGGTGGACCTGGCATCAGAATCCTAGTTCAGCCCTGGGCAGCTTGGGAGCTGGGAGGCAGGTTTTATGGGGCCAGTGTGGACCAGAGGGTTGGTCCACTCATCAGCGTGACTTTGGTCCCTAAAACCCACTTCCCAGGGCACTGCCCTCCCATATGGGGCTCAGGCCCCACAGCAGGGCAGGGGGCACAGGACACAGCCATGGGGGGCAGTCCAAGGGGCAGACAGTGTTGAATAAATCAAGATCCCATTGAGTCGACTCTGACTTTTGGTGACCCCATGTGTTACAGAGTAGAACTGTGCTCTATAGGGTTTTCTTGGCTGCAGTCTTAATGGAAACAGATTGCCAGGACTTTTTTCCACAGTACCGCTGGGTGGGTTCTCTGAGTCAGCATGGGCAGGGGCACAGCAGAGGCAGCAAGATGAGGCCCTCTGGTGGAAGGGAGCTGGGGGCCACAGGCCTGGTGCAGGCTGCCCTCTGCCAGCTGGGCAGAGTCCTGACATGGCCCAGGGCAGCTGAATCACTTGTGACTCACGGTGAGAGGCAGTTTGCCTTAGAAATGCCACATTGGGTCACCAGCAACCCTATGCCCTCAGCCCACTTATAACCAGGGCCACCAGGCAGGAGCTGGCCTGCTCCCAGGGAGGGCCCGTGATGCACACGGGGCCCTGACTGCCCCAAAAGCCACGCGGCCAGCAGCATGGCGCGGGCTCCCTGCTCACCAGCCCATGTGCTTTTGTGGAGTCCTTTCACACAAACACCTTTACTTCTGTCTTTAGGACTGACCCTACCGCTCACCTTGGGCCCCCTAAAGCTGCTTCTAACTCCCACTGCGCAGGGACCTGGGGTGTGGAAATGGTTTAAGCAGGCGCAGAAGCTGGGCTTTGGAGGGGAGAGGACAGCCCTGCCTGGCCCGGGCAGGCACCGAGCACTCTCTTGGCTGCAGTTGGTTTGGATCTCATCTTGGTCAGGTGTCCACCCCACTCTGGACACAAGGTTTCCCACTCGTGGGTACCTCCCCACTGCACTGGGAGGACTGTGCCACCCAGGCATCCCGGAAGGGTCTTCAGGGGCCTAGTGCCCAGGTGAGTGTGGTCAAGGGCTTCCCAGAAGAGGGGGCACCATCCTTCATCTGGACATGAGTCCAAGATGGCAAAGACCACTCCCTCTTACGGCTCCCAGGGATCACTTGGGCTGTCCAGAGGATAGGGCCATTCCCCCCAAACCCCACACGAGATGGGACCAACTGAAAAGGTCAATCTGTAGGTGACTGCCGCAGCTAGGAGTGCTAATTGGGGGGGGAGGGCGAGGGTATGTTCAGGGCGGCTGCAGACCCAGGCCTCCCCCAGCTTCAGAGAGAACACTTTTGAGCCCACTGGGGAGGGGCACCACCCTGCAGCCCGCGGTCCATGCACTTGATTCCCTGCTGGACCGCAGACCCCCCCAGGAGAAGTTTATATCATTGGAGGACATCTCCCTCTGCCTGACCCCTGACTCTAACCACTCCCAGTTCCTAGAAGACCTCAGGCCCTTAATGTCCTCTCTCCACCCCGCGACTCACGGCTCACCTGGGTACGGCTTCCTCCGGGAAGGCCTCCCTGAGCCCCTACCCCCACGTTCTGATTGTCGTTACTATCCGAGGCCCCACTGGCCTGCCAGCCCCTAGAGCTCCAGGCCTGGGTCATCCCGAGGCGGATCGGAGGCTGCACGCAGAGTTGGGGCCGCGGCAGGGAAGGGGCGCGGGGTCGCAGAGTCGCAGGGGTGCGGGAGAGACAGACGCGCGGACAGCGGGCCGGGCGGCAGGCGGGGCGGGGCGCCGAGGGGCGGGG